GATTTTGTGTGGATTAAACAGCAGATTTGCCCCCGTGTGATAACGTCCAAAGCTAGAAGTGGCTTCTGATTATGATGCTTTGCTATGAACTACTCCTAGAAGCCTTCAGGGGTGGCTTTTTATCATTTTCGGGGTACCTTTTCCCCAAATTTTGGGTGTGAAGATGCCAGAAGCTTTTGGAGAATCAACTGGGGTTTAGGGCCCCTGGGATCCACCTACAACCCATAGGTCATAGTTTTTCCACCTGTGTGCTACTTAGGTAGCTGTCTGGTCCAATGGTTTTAAAATAAAGAACTAAATGGAGGGAGAACAGAAGCCTCAGAGTTTCCCAATGAAATGACCAGCTAAGTGCAATTCCAATTGCTGCTCCCAAAGAAAGCAGACACACTGAATCAATTTCTCAATAGTAAGTCAACCTTTTGACTCAATGAGTTCATTTTAGTTAAGAGTAGAATGGATTTTGGCCCTGGACAGCAGACTGAGCAGCAAGCCACACAGGATAGCCACATTTCTGTCTGAATTCTGGCAATCACTTCCACATTTGCAACTTTGCCTATAGATTATCACAAGCATTTGTTCTCTAAAATTGTGTCCCCATTTCTGTTTTTTAGGGTTGGGAATGGTGGTGGAATTGTTAACATAATTTTGATGTAAAAAGTTATACCCATGGAGTTTGTAGTCCCAAACTGCAAGCTTTATCTCCATAGAGTACTTCATATTTTAGCACAAGGATTTGTTTTTAACAAAAACATTCTATCCCAAGAGAATTTTGCCAAGATTTCCTTTCAGTTTTACATTGAATACTTGAGTCCTGCAAGCAGCGCTTGTACACACACACACACACACACACACACACAAGTTTCAAGTCTGTACTTTTCAAGCACTCTAGAGGATAAGGTGCTCAAAGCAGATTCCCTGAAACCCTTCAGGAAATGTTGAATCTCTCTGCATGATAGCAAAATCTTCCCTGCAGATTTGATTTATCTGTTCTGTTTATAAGAGCTGCCTTGCTTGACCAGATGAAAAGTGTATCAAGTACATCCACTGCTTTGTTTCCAATGCAAGCCAGATACTCAAGTGCCTTTGGAAGGTTCAAAGCATCACAATAGAAGATAGCTTCTCTTGTTTCTGCCCAGCACAGATACACTATGCCTGTCGATGGGGGCTCTGTTCAACAATTACAATTAATCATCCATCCCTCATGGTTGTCCAATTATTTTTAGAAACAATTTAAGCTGGTGGCCACCACAGGAAAGAGTTGACTTTCTTTAGGTTTAGTCAGTTTGGTGTTGTATCTGCAGCCCAATGGAGTAATGTATCTATTAAATATCAGCGGGAGACGAGAGGTGGCAGCAGAGAAAAGGATGGAGATGCAGGAAGCTGTCATACAACAGGTCTGGGTATTTATCCATTTAACCTAGTAATATTAGCTCTGACTGGCAGCAATTTCCCCAAGTCTGAGGCAGACAGGAGACTCTTCCATACCTTATTGTGTGTGTATGTGCCTTCAAGTCACATATGCTTGACATTACTTGAATCTTTTAACAGGAAATGGTAGGGACTGGGCTTGAGATTTTCTCCATGCAAAGAATATGGACCATCACTAAGCCATCATTCTTCCCTGACCAGTAGATACAAGACTTCATTTATACAGGAATGTCGCATACAGCACTTAGCCAGTTTAATTGACTGCACTGAGGTTCTGGATGATCATCTGTGCCCATAAACTACATGTAGAAATAAACAATGAAATCATCTTATCTTCCCTATGTAGATATGAAGGTTGGGAAAAACAAAAATGAATGACTTCATAAGAAATGGTTTGAAGGCCCATGAGGTTGCTACCTTGATGCAAATTTGGAGGTGATCAGGCCCAGATGAGAGATCAAGTTCGCAATCTTATATATGCCATCTTGAAGGAAGGCAGAGTAACAAAGGCACTTAATAAATAATTGGACTGACTTCATAAAGTTTGCAGAGAGTTTCTTCATAAGCTAGATATAACCAATAATGTGGCAAAACTATGCTGTCTAAGCAATTCAGCAAGATAATGAAGAGATGGAAACTAAAAGCAGCATATAGAGTTTCTTTTACATGTCTACCTATGATGTGTGACACATAGGAAAGTAACACATTTAGCAACTGCAAAATTGCTTCCCAAGTTTCTCAAGTCCCTTGTGTTGCTTAATCAGCATTCCTAAAAGCAATATTTTCTGTCAATTGATTGACAAGGAGGTATTGCGTTTAGAAGTGCTGAATCTACACTATGGAGGGACTTGGTAGACTTGCAGTGACTATGATAAATATAAATGGTGTTGTTTTTGTTTTGTCTTTTAAAAAAAAGGCTTGTCCTAATGAGTAGGAGCAACATGTTTTTCTTCCAAGGAAGAATAACAAAGGGTAGTGAGGCTTTTGACAAGTCTCTTCATATGAGAGTCAAACTACACTGAGTTTGGATTCTTGAAGTGTTTTGTAGCTACTACCTTCCCCACCACCCTCACTTTGGCACAGACAAGAAAATATGCTTTGTTGATCATGCAGTCTTTATTCAGTGCATTGTTTGATGGTCATATGATGGTCATTTGAGATTCCCAAAATGCATTATACAAATCCAATACATGCTACAAGAAAGCTGCAAGACAAATCAGAACCTCACCAGTAGGTGCCCATCTGTTTTGGACAAAGCCCGACTACAGTAGGGGGCTGCTTCTAAAGAAGTTTGAATTTCTCAGAAGTAAAATTTATCTCCCCCCCCCCAAACTGATTCAAAACAAAGTGAACTGATCCTGTGATTCAGAGTTATTCAGATGGTGAAAATAATCCCAGTAGAATGTTAATTGAATCTTTGTTGTTCACATGCATTTTGAATGCATCCAATTAAGTTGGGGGGGGGGGGGCAGGCTGCCAAAAAATCCAGTTATGCCAGGATAATCGATCTTGGGTTTTCTTCCAAGTGTCTAGCACAGAGGTAGGCAACCTTTCCCCTTTAAGGGCCGAGGGACTTCAGCTCCCAGAAGCCTCAGCCATGTTGGCTAATAGTCCCATGTTGGCCAATAGCTCCTGGGATTCTGGGAGCTGAAGTTTCTCGGCCCTTAAAGGGGAAAGGTTGCCTACCCCTGGTCTAGCACAACTTTCCAGGTGTGGTCACAGAATAGATATAAAATAAAAGCATAAATGTCAACAGTACTTTCTCACTTCTCTAAAGCAAACTGTGATTATGAATTCCTTAAGGACTAAATGGAGACTCCTCACCTGAAGAAAACCATGTATGCCTTTTAGTCTTGATGTAAGTTGTTCAGTCTTATTATATCTATAGGTTACATTTTAGACAAATTGGTATGTTATGTAGAGAATAGTGTATAACACATGACCTTGAGATTCTTGAACATTTTTTTCAAAATCTAAATTATGAAAGGGTTGTTGCTGTTGTTATTGTGTCTCCAACACATTTTTTAACCTATGGTGACCCTAAGACGAACCTATCATAGAGTTTTCTTGGCAGGTTGCCGGGGGGGGGGGGTTGCCGTTGTTATCCTCTGAGGCTGAGAGTGAATCATAGAATCATAGAGTTGGAAGAGACCACAAGGGCCATCCAGTCCAACCCCCTGCCATGCAGGAACTCAAAATCAAAGCATCCCCGACAGATGGCCATCCAGCCTCTGTTTAAATACCTCCAAAGAAGGAGACTCCACCACGCTTTGAGGGAGGGTATTTCACTGTCGAACAGCTCTCACTGTCAGAAAGTTGCTCCTAATGTTGAGGTGGACTCTGGTGGAGTGAGACTTGCCCGATGTCACTCCAAGGGTTTTTATGCTCAAGCAGGGAATTGAACCCTGATCTCAAGAATCAGTGTCTAATACTCAAACTACTACACCACTCTGGCTCACACTTCCTCAAAGCTTCCAAGCCAAATAATCTTGTTGGATTAGCATACGTGATGTAGTGATTTGAGTGTTGGACTAGGACACTAGGAGATTAGGGTTTGAATTCCACTTCAGCCATGGAAATCCACTGAGGGCCTCGGCAGACAGCTAATAGAGCCATCTTGGAGGCAGGGAAGGGGAGGGGCAGCCGCATGCTCGGTGCCCCTTCCTCCTCCCGAGGTCATCCTCAGAGCCGGCAGCCCTCCGCATGGCCAGCACTCCGAGGACAACCTCCCGCCGCAGCGTCCGGACATGCTGCGGCGGAAAAGTCAGTGAAAGTGCACCACAAGTTTTTGAGGTGCACTTTCTCTGACTTGTGAAAGGAGTGCTATTCTAGGGATGGGGATGCCTCGATCCCGCGGCACACCTTCCCGGGGCGGCCCACGGCCGCCAGTCTGCTTAGCCCCTGAGTATCCTTGGGCAAGTCACTCAGAGGAAGGCAAGGGCAGAACAAATTCTGCCAAGAAACCCCTGGAATAGGTTGGCCTTAGAGTCAACGTAAGTCAGATATGACTTGAAGACACACAATAACAACAAAAACAACTCTGAAGTCAAGATGACTTTATCCCTTATAACACTTTCACAACACATAGGGTGCATCTACACTGTAGAAATAATGTTGTTTGACAACACTTTAAATGCCATAGCTCCATCTTATAGAATCTGGGGATTTGTAGTTTTGCGAGGCACCAAGCTAAAGACCTTGTAAAACTACAAATCCTAAGATTCGTTAGGATGGAGCTAGAGTATTTAAACTGGTGTCAAACTGCATTATTTCTGCTGTGTAGATGCACTCATAGACAAACAACCACAACATTGGTTTAATGTTTGGGAACTAAGACCATATCTGATGATCTGTTCTTTTTAAATCTATTTGGGAACAAGGGCTACTAGGGGGGGGATGCAGACCAGGGCATCCAGGACGCCCTGGTCCGGAGCGCTGCGGGGCCATGGCAGCCGCACCGCGGCGCTCCTGCGGTGTCCCTGGAAGGAGCGCTAAATCAGCGCTCCTTCCTCAAGACAGGGAAAGCGCGCCCTAAACGCGTAGGGCGCACTTTCCCTGTCTTTTCCACCGCAGCGCATGCGGTCGCTGCGGCGGGAGGTTGCCCTGGAAGCACCGGCCGTGCGGAGGGCCGGCAGCTTCCAGGGCGACCTCAGGAAGAGGAAGGAGCGCCGCTCGTGCGGTGGCTCCTCCTCTTCCAGGCCTCGAGGACAACCTTTTCAGTCGTCTGCTGAGGCCCTAGGTTGTCTTAAAACAGAGCTCGGAACCATGAGCTGCTGTCGGACCACATCTCTGATAAATTCTTTAGGATCGGCCATGCTAGCTAGGACTGATGGTAGATGTGGTTCAGTAACTTCTGAAAGGCTACATCTTAAGACCCTCCCTTAAAATCACCATCCATTTGGGAACAAAAATCCCATTTACCCATTTGCCTGACTTAGCTCCAATAATACCCTAAAGACACCAGATCCCATCTGATCTTGGCAGGGTCAGCTCTGGTTAGTACTTGGATGAATGACTGCCAACAAATACCAGGTACTCTAGGTTATATTTCAGAGGAAGGAACTGGTAGAACCACTTCTGAGGATTCATATAACAATAAAACCATACAATCATGCAGTCAGAAGAGACCACAAGGGCCATCCAGTCCAACCCTCTGCCATGTAGGAACTCACAAAGCACCCCTGACAGATAACAATAGCAATAGCAGCTTCATTTATATACCACTTCATACCGTGGTATGCAGTCTCTAAGTGGTTTACAACTGTAAGCTAATTGCCCCCAACAATCTGGGTACTCATTTTAGCAACCTCGGAAGGATGCAAGCCTGAGTCGAGTTTTTGCCCCTGGCTGGTACTGAACTCGCAACCTTGTGGTTTGTGAGTGAATGGCTGCAGTACAGGCATTTAACCACTGAGCCACCAAGGCTCCAACCAGCCTCTGTTTAAAGACCTCCAAAGAAGGAGATCCCACCACTCTCCAATGTCAAACAGCTTTTACTGCCAGGAAATTCCTCTTAATGTTTAGGTGGAATCTCTTTTCCTGTAGCTTAATCCATTGTTTGAATGCTATTCTCTGAAGTAGCAAAAACCAAGCTTGTTTCATCCTCAATATGATGCCCCTTCTAATACTTATACAAGGCTATGATATCACCTCTTAACCATCTCTTCCCAAGGCTAAATATACCTAACTCCCTAAGTCTCTCCTCATAGGGCATTTTTTCCAGACTCTTCACCATTTTGGTCACCCCCCTCTGGACATGCTCCAGCTTGCCAACATCCTTTTTTAATTGTGGTGCCTAGAAATAGACACAGTATTCCAGGATTCCATGCTTATGAAATTCATGGAATCACCATGAGTCAATAGATGACTTGAAGGCAGACACATACACAAATAAATTTCTAAAATATAAACAAATACAGTGGTTAAATGTAGTCTTGTCTTTGCAATTTAATTATCAGGGAACAAGGAAACCCTCTGCTGTCAAGTCTATTGCGCGATGCTCCTACACTATTTTCACTTATTTTAAGGGGGCTTAGATAATAGAATAGATTGCATTTCCCGCCCTCCCTACAAGAGAGCTAAAATTAAGAACAAAAGAACTGCCAGGCTAGATAAAACAGTAAATCCATCACTTCTCTTCTCATATTGGCCAGTATGAGCTTCCTCTGAAAATATCCCTTTCCAGCCTGAAGGGAAACCTTCTTTCTATATACCTTCAGTGAGCAGCTGCCTTCTGCCCTGTAGCAACAGAATATCTATATCTCATATAATTTTCTCTCTCTGTGTCCATTATAAGTACGGATGTTGTCATTCCACAAAGAAATACTTAATCCGCTTTGGAATCCTACTAAGCCTTTTATAGAGTTTGGTGATATCATATGACATTGAATCCTATACACAGTTTCTTTCAGTGCTTCACCATACTTGGCCAGGTAATATAAGCATCTTTATCAGTCTGTAGCACCAAATTGTGATATATTACTCTTCTTAAAAAGATTGAATTCAGCTAACATATCCCCCCCTTTAAGGATCTCTGCCCCATCACCCTTTGCCAGCAAATCACCAAACTTGTGTTTCAGAGAATTCTTGGGGTCTTAGATCACATGATCTGTAAGTATGGGTAACCTTCCTGACATGGCAGTGTTCTTTGATATTACTCATCTTCTCTTCCCACACACAAGAAATGGGGGTCATGTCTTCCAGGAAATGAGAGGTACAAGAAATCTCCACTTCCTGGGCCTAATCCAGCCTGTGGAATTTCCTCATCCAGAGGGTCCTGGGAAGCCATGCCCTTTTACAGATCCCTCTCTGAGTCACATCACTTGAGGGCAGAATTCTTAGTGTGCTGCTGGCCTTTCCAATTGGCCAGGGTAATCCTCAATATAGCATAAATGCGGGAGCGGGGATTCCACATGTACAAGTCAGCAACCACTGTCCCTTAGGCTTTACAACATGCACAATGTGATCTGGCCGGCAAAGGACTTGATGGGGAACTACCCGAACCCAATAAAAGGCATCTTACCTGGTCTAGGATCCTTACTGAAGTTGCATGTGCAGTAGATCTATACAGTAAGGATACTCTAGGAGAAAAAGAATGCGGCGCACTTATACAGTAAGAATACTTACTGTATAAGTGCGCCACATGCACTGGTCTTGTTGAAAATGAACTTATGTGCTCTGGCCTAGATACCTACTAGCACAGAACCATCAGATGTTGGCTTAAGAGTGTATACTTCTGGCATGCCAGTATTACATGTGAATAACTCATTGCATGTAATAAGGATCACAAGTCATTCCTGTCAGTGACACCCACCCACCACCACCACTGCTGCCCAGTAGCTGTTTGTCTCCCTATATTATTCCTCCCATTATCATTTGTTTCTCCTTGCGCCTCCCTGGGTTTCGCTCCTTCCCTTCCTTTGTGTCTTCCCTTTTAGTCCATCCCCACCCCCACCCCATCCCTTCTTTAGTTCCTTCACTTCTTTCTCTGTGGTTGTGGTAGGGCAGAGATGGCTGGATGTTACTGAGATGTCACTGACAGGAGTGAATTGTGACACCATAGCTAAGATTAGTTGGCACTGTGCACAGGGAGGTGTAGGTGGCCCTCCATCACCTGGTAAACCCTATGATGAGACACCATAAGTGAGACACAGGCAGGATCAGAGCATTAACAGAAATAGAAAGGGAAGGAAGGAAAGATAAAGGGATATCACATTTGCAAGATTAGCCAAGGGCATAAGAAAGATGACCAGACAAACAGCAGACACCCTTAGAAAGGCAAACAGCATCCAAAGCAGCATTACACATAAGACTGGGATGTGGAATATGAGGAGCATGAGCCAAGGGAAGCTAGACATAGTAAAAATGGAAATGCAATGCAAGAACATAGCAACACCGGAGGTGAGTGAGTTAAAATGGACAGGAATGGGCCACTTTACATGCTCTATTCAGGGAATGAAAAGACGAGAAGAAATGGGATGGCTTTCATACTAAGAAAAGATGTGGCAAAAGCAGTCAGCAGATATAATGCAAAATCAGACCAAATCATTTCAGTAAGGCTCCATGCTAAACCTATGAATATCACCATAAGTATATGCACCAACCACAGGGGCAGAATAGGAAGAAATTGATAGATTCTATTTAGGAGTACAGGAAGAAATTGATAGCACACCAACACATGATGTCAAGTTGCTCATTGCAGATGAGGTATCCAGGAACTCCGTTGATGGCACTTTACTGGATCAA